TGCAGATTTGCAAGTGTTGTCTGATTAATCAAGAAATTTTTATTCATTTGAGTTATAAAAGTATCTAAGAGGAGGAAAGAGATTTATCTTAGAGTATTCTCTATATTAATATTGGAACGATGGGCTTGCCTCGTGAGAGTAAATATAAACAAATATTAAATTCAGAAAGAACGACTTATATTTTATGAAATTTTGATTTCTTTAAGTTCCAATATAATGCTTTAATCTATTCTCATAGTCTTAATAAAATGGATGTTATTTTTTTTAAATATTTTACTTTAGTTATATAGTGAAAAAATTTAAAATGATTTGGTAGGAAATTTTAAAATGATAGTTAAATATAACGCCAAGGAAATTTTAAAATAGACAATTCATAATAAATTAGTAGCTTATTTATTTCTGCTGTGAATGTGATAAATAAATATAAATTGGAATATATATGCTTTTAGAAGTAGGAATCAGCAAAATTTTTGAAAAATATTTGCATCTAGTGGCTTCACACATTAACTTAACCAAAAAATTTATTAGGTCATAACTAGATTGTAGAAAAATATGAATTCGTTAAAACGATCAAAATTTTTTTATCCACTTAATCAACTTCTACAAGTATTCATCTAATTTATTATTGAGTTCTGATGTAATCAGTGTGTCATAACAAGTGTATGCATTAGTGATCTGCATCGGGCTTAATTTTTTAAGCCCGGCCCGGCCCAAAATTTTTTTAAAAAGTTTTGCCGGCCCGAAATTTACTTTAAAAAAATTTATCGCCCGGCCAGGCCCGAATTTATTTAAATATAGAAATTAATTTTTATTATTACTTAAAATAAAAGACATATGTTATATAGCGTTTAGTTTCAATAAATTAAATCAAAAATTTTTATTTTACATAAAAAATTCAATATAAAATTGATAAATTTAGATATATGTAATAAAATTTATATGGTCCGACCCGACACGGCCCGAATTTTTTTTTAAAATATTAGGCCCGGCCCGAACCTGATTATTTTAAATAGAATTAGGCCCGAGCCCGGCCCGTGCAGATCTCTAGCAGAGTTGGGCAGTACCGCGAATACTTGTATCTAAGATACAAGATCCTTTTGTATCTTTTACTCAGTATCTTATTGACATTTTTAATAAGATACTAGTATCTGTATCTAAGATCCTTTATTTTGAAAAGAATCTTGTATTTTTTTCATTTTCTTTAAAAAGATACAGATACAGATTCTTTTTAATATTCATGTTTAAAACATTTACATATCACACAATCTAACTTTATTTTCTTCGTGAAATCTTGTATTATTTTCTTTATTTTTTCCTGCTATATTTTAAATATATTGATAACCAAAATTAGTTGGAAATTTTACAGATCACAAAGATAGATAGATTAAAAATAACAACACCAAAACTAAATAAGTAAAGGTTATATTTTATATGTAATATTTTTTAATTTGTTAAATGTTTAACAATCATAGTAGTGAAGATGAAATTATGGAGATAGGTTCTCCTGAATCAAATCCGAATCTTAAAATTCTAGATGGAAAATTTTATAAAGTAATTCATGTTAAAAAGGACAAGGTACAAGCCGTATGTCAAAATTGCACAAGTAAAAAAGTTATTAAAGGTTGAACAAACTGCTCAACAAACTTTGTTAAACATATTAAAGTATATTATACATTTTTATTTTATTATTAACATAATAATACCTATACTTAAGTCCCTCTTAGATAATTGTTATTAAAAATTTTTATAGAAGATGGTTGATTATCAAATTAAAATCATTTTGGATATATAATTTTTAGAGGTGTACCGATACCACTTTTTGGAGGTTGATCCGATCCGATATTCAATTGATATCGGCCGTACCGATCCGATATCATATCTAATTTTGTATTCTGTAAAGATACCAATGGTTTTAATTTTTAATATACTTTTTATTAGTATAAAATCTATAATTTAACTATACCATAACTTATGTCATTTAAATATATTATTATGATCAATTATAGTTTATATTCAATTCAATTGCAATTCTAAAAGTATATAAAATAATTGTTAAATCACTTTTATTTAACAAGTAATAACATTAATCTATATACATATAAATTAAACAATTATATTATGAAATTTTAAATAAATATTTAAAATAATATTTAACATTAATATAGCGAAGATTTTTTTTTAGTAATACCAATATTTCCAATTTATCGTCAGCTTGCGGCGATAGTAACTGTCAATATCACCAGCTTCACTAAAAACAGATTCTGAAAAGATTATGGCACACTTTTATAAACAGAATGCGCAAAAAAATAACAATATGATAGAATGTTTATTAATTAAATATTATTATTAAAAAAATATACATAAAAATGGATTTCGATTTTATTTATAAAAATAAATGACTTAAGATATAACTATTTTTTTAAATTTTATTTTTGTTGAAGAAGCCATTTTTATAACGGATCAAATTTTATAATATTGACCGATAATTGATATTTTAAAATGGGTGAAACATCGGTTCGATAAAAAATATCAGCACATCCCTAATATATTTTATATTTAATTATTTTAGCAAGTTCTTATTAGAGGAAATATTTAAGCTACAATTGTTATATAATATTAGATAATTTTAAAAGGCTCTTAATAAAATAATTATAATAAGGTAGAATTTAACTTTATTAGTTACTTTTATTTATGATATAAGTAAAATTATATTACAGTATTTATCTACAAAATTTAATCAATTTAAAATGCATTAAAGAAAATTGTTATATATTTAATAATTAAATAATATAATGTTGTACATTATTTTCATATTTTTTATATATAATTAATGATTTTGCAAGAAATATATTAAAAAAATTTGAAAAGAGATTTAAATGATATATATATATATATATGATATTACAAATGCAAGAATTAATAAGTCATACTAAAAAATAAAACTAATTTAAAAAATACATAAATATCACAAACAAGTAATGATAAATACTTATTAAAGATAATGAATAAAAAATAATTAGTATTATTTTTTTTTAGAGATGCCATTTAACCATAAACTCCGAATATAAGCTATATTTAAAACAACACAAAAAATAACCTGCAAATTCTAATAAATCATTTGATTTAATTTTTTTTCTTATTTACACATTTTCAAGCTATTAATGGACAAAAATTAATATTAAAATCCCTGGTTATTATAATTAATTCATCAATAAATATTTTATTAATTATTGCAAATATTCATTATTATATGTGTAATACTATGTTATTCACATATAAATAATAAAAATTGTATTTTATAAACTATTCTAATTTAATTGGTAATGATAATTTAAAAGTATCTTGTATTTAAGATACTCGAATTTAGTAAAAGATACAAGTATCTTTTATCTTTTTGATATTTTGAACAAGATACTAGTATCTGTATCTAAGATTCATTTTTTTATAAAGAATCTGTATCTGTTATAGATTCTTTTTCCGGAGGACCTGCCCAACTCTGATCTCTAATGCATATAGAATAAATTTACGAGGTAAATGGAGGTGGCCTCTTTTATAAATTTTTTTGTGCTATACCACAACACATAGTATAGTTTGTTTCCTATTAAAAAAAACTTGCAAGTAATTTTTAAATTTACTTAGTTAAATTATAGAATGCATATACGAAATATCTTCAATAAATACAGGAGACGTTGTAAAGATATTCAATACTGTTGTTATAAATTGACTAAAGAGGCGTTGTAATTTTAAGTATCCGAAATATTTGTTAGGCTACCACTAAATAAAAATAGAACAAAACCATAAAGAATTCTGAGCGACAAGAGGGGGGGGGGAAGAGTGCATAAATCGTAAAGGGATATAAAATCTAGGAAGGTTAGGAATCTGTTAATTTTAAATTATTTGCTGAAGATAACTTTTAACTTTAAAAAATCTAATTTGTCAAGGAGAGGTATTCTAGTACATATAGAATACATATATTGTGAATTTTACACAATTTTAGCTTGCAATAACTGCTCTCAATTTATATTAATCAATAGATTTTTCATATAATTAAATAAAACATAAAAATTCAGGGCAAAATTATTTGAAACTCGCAACGTGGGTAGTCTATACATCATGGAATATACCAGCTGGTCGAACTGATAGGTATAAGAATTCAGTTCCATTCCGGGTTTTAGTTCAAATTTTTTTAAACGGCTTATTCCATCTCGGGATGTTTCTGAACAAATTTATATAGATTCAGTTACGTTTTTTTAATAAGTTAAAATTTTTTAAAATTAATCATAATATATTTTATTAAATGACCATAATAATCTGAATAAAATAATATGAAAACCTAGTAATAAAAATATTCTAAAAATAAAATATTTTCTAAACTTAAAAATAAAATCACACAAAAATTAAAGAAAATTAGTTGAATTTCTTTAATAAAACCTAAACAAGAAAAACAAATATAGTCACATAGCATAACCAAAATATTTTCATTTCAAAAAATGAAAATAACCGATTAAAAAGTATTTTCAGGTTTCGAGTCCCTACCTTTGTTAAATTATTCTATCACAATCTTCATATTTAAAATAATTTCTGTGTACACCAAAATTAATAGATTAGCTTTTTAATAATATAATTAACAATGATTTAGATTTTTTTAATATAAAACTTTTCCTTTTATGTTAAAATCTTTCCTGGAATTTACCTTATTTTTTTTTATATTAAAAATGTTATTTTTAGTATTAAATTATCTCCTCCTCTGTAAATTAATACATGAATATTGCAACAAAATTATTCAGCCAACTATTTGAAAAATAGAAAAAGTAAATAGTTATAGTTAAAACTTAAAACCATATATTTGTTAAAACATAATTATCTAAATTAAAGAAATGAGTTTAATTTTCTTATGCTAAATGAAAATAAAAAACCTGGAAACTTTTTAGGTAGTATAATAATAAAAAAAATATAATTTATATAAACAAATAGCATGAAATAAAGAATATACAAATATAAACTCTTTTGTTATTTTTTATTAAAATTAAAAAAATATATTATTTTATAATATAAATAATCTTATGCATACATTCTTGTATCGGTATAATTAAAAAATAAAAATATATAAATATTCATGCCGACGATGGATTTTCACTGTGTACAATATTTCTCCTAAGCTTTTCTCCTTTACGCCAGAGAATGATTTCCTGTTATGGATGAAAATTTTTATAAAAATATTTATTTTCCAAGATATTGAAATTATTATTAAATTTTTTAATTTAAAACTCTATAGCATATTTAAAAGGAATTAGTTAGTGACGTGCGTTACTAATAATCTGGTAATTATCTGATTGTTTATTTGTAATATAACACATATCTTATATATAAAAATATAAATTTTAAAGATATTAGATTCAACTTTAGGTAGCTAGTTTATTTATAGACCCGACAATGAAATATAATATTTTCCTAGACTGCGATTCATTCATTAAAATGTATTTTAAAGGGTCGTTGAGTTTAAATCAGCTTGTGACATGACATTTTGTTTCCCATGTTATTCTTTTCTTGTATTTAGTATTTATTTAAATAATTTTGAAAGTATTAGTATTTTAAATACCAAAAAATAAAAATTATCTTGTATTATTATTATTCAAATAAATACATATACTTTTAATTTTTTATTATAGATTAAAATTCCACTATTCCTTTTTTTTAAATATTAATTTCGGTATCCGAGTTGGTTAAAAAAAAACTCAAAATTTTACCTATTTCATCCTATTTTATTAAAATGATGAAATTGAAATGAAAGTAACAAAATTTTCTGTATTATAACATAATTTTCCTTACAAACTAAGGATTTAAACTATATGATATATATAAAAAAGATTGATATTTAATAATTAAAAATAATATATATTTAAATAATTAGATTATGATTAGACGTTGTGATTTATATAAAAAATTTTTGGCTAATGTATTCATTTGTTCTAAGTAAGGTTGCCAAACGAAAATTTTATTTTATTTTATTTTTTTGTATTTCCATTGTGTTTTGCATTGTCCAAGTCCTCAGTCATTGTTATGGGTATTTCCTTAGCTTGTACATGAGCATCCCTCAGTTGGTCAACATGCTTAATTTTAGCAATACCCTCAGATTCAACATCATACAATATCGTACTTTTCCGTTGAACTGTCCCTTCATGCCATCTCGCAGTCCTTTCGTTTTCTAGCCAAACCTTTGATTCTCTACAAATTCATGGGAGTCAACATTCCTATCTTTATAATATTTTTGTTTCTATAATGCGTTTTCAGTCCTTTCCCTTGTAGACAATTTCGCCTTCCAAACATAATTTCGGCAGGGGATTTACCGGTAGTTGCATTTGGAGTATTTCGGTGATAATTAAAAATTCGCTAAATAGATCATCCTAGAAAAATGTTGGGATTGGAGTATCGTAATATATTTATTGTATGGCTTAAGAGAAAATTGACAGATATTCCAATAGAAATTGCAGAGTAATATTTTGAAGAAATTAAATCTAAAAATAAAAATTTAAATAATTTTGTATAAATTGTCCACTTACTAATACTCAATTCTTTATTAAAAATCAATTTCTAAACAAAAAAACACAATGATCAACTTTATAATAATTTTATATTTTCTAATATTCAAAAATTAAAAATTCGAATTTCGCAATATAGTAATTTAACTAACAAAAATTAAATATTCAAATATAATCATATACATACATATAATAATATAAAACTAATATTAAATTACTATACAATAATAATCAAAATTTTCAATAACATAACTATTCAAATTATTTAACTATACAAAACAAATAAAATCCTATTCCAATATTCAAATAATTATTAAAATATACAACACTATAGTGAGAAAAATCTAGTTTACTAGTGTTGTAAACGAACGCGTTCAGAAGTTCGTTTTTTTGAAAAAAATGATGAACGGCGTTCCTTTTATTTTTGACGAACTTTGAACGTCGCGTTCCTTTTTGACGAACGCGTTCGAATTTAAAGTTCATTCAATTTTAAAAATATTTTTATTTATTTGAAAAAATTAATATTACCGATTTTTTAAAAAAAATGTATTATTTATATTTTTTAATCGGCTGTGTATTTCCTTTTCACATTTCAATTTTTTTAACACATAGTTTATTAATTTGAATATTATTGTTTATATTTTAATTTAATAGATTAGCATAAGCATGGATATTATTATTTAATCCTCATCATCTGATACTTAAAATCCAAAATCAGATGAATTATCATTACTATGGCCAAATATGATAAATGTTTTACATTAACATCCTATACTGAAGAAACTAATCCAATGCATACCAAGTGTAAAATGTGGCCAAAAATATTATATTGTCAAAATCTTCAGGTTTCAATTTAAAACGACATTTGATTTTAATATTAATTATTTGATTTTATATGATATAACTAATTTAAATCATTAAAATTTGAACATATATATAAGGATCAATATGTCTTTCTGCAATTATACATCCAGCATTCAAACTTCAATTGTAATGGATAAAACTTCCACAGAACGAACCTATTAAAAATAAACTTTAGCGTTATTGAAAAAAATGCTTAAAAAACCCTAGAGAACTGTTAATTTCGAGATATCCTTTTTTTTGTCGAGAGTAGAGAATGGATTGGAGGAGAATAACTTATCTCATTTTTTTGCAAATAACAAAACAATATGTTTTTATTTAATTCTCCATGTCAAAAGAATTGTTTATTAAGTATAATACCGCAATCCCCTCATCTGCCCCTGTGCGCGTTTTTAGTTTAGCTAATGCCGTATTAACTGCCAAGTGTTGTCTATCAGATAAATATTTTGAAAACAATTGTTATTAAAATTTAATAAGAAAAATTTTTTATAAATAAAAATATCTTTTTATTCGCTATATTATATTATAATATCAAAATAAAACTATATTATTTTAAAAATATAAGTTTATATATTAAATTAAATTTTAAAAAAATTTATCACAAAATTTTGAACGGTTTTATGAAGGTGAACGCGTTCCTTTTTTTTGAACATGAACGTGAACGCGTTCGATTTTTGTCAATGAACGTTGAACGCGTTCGATTTTTTTTAGAAATGTTGCACTAAGCTTTACTCATCTAGGCTCACCTGCTGGAGACAAAACAGAAATATCCAAATTTAGTGAGGAACTTTAGGATAAATTTGACCTACTTCAGAAATTTCTTGACTTTTTACCATCTCACCATTCATTTTTTCAAGAATTTCCCTTACATTCAAAGATATTGTATGCCTTATGTTCTGCTCCTCTTTTCCAATTGCCAGACATGTTACTAGAGTTAGAACAGAAAGTTTAGAACGATTTGAGGTGCAATTAACAAAATTTATGCCATTATTTGGAGTATAAAAATTATCTTGTATTTATTATAATTCAAATAAATACATATACTTTTAATTTTTTATTATAGATTAAAATTCCATTATTCCTTTTTTAAATATTAATTTCGGTATCCGAGTTGGTTAAAAAAAAACTCAAAATTTTACCTATTTCATCCTATTATATTAAAATGATGAAATTGAAGAGAAAGTAACAAAATTTTATATTTTATAACTTAATTTTCCTTATAAACTCATAACTATTAATTTTTTTTAAATGAGAGAGCTAAGCATAACTATTGGAAATACTATAAAAAAAATTTCAAAAAGTATTCGTTATTAAAATACTTTTTTTAAAAAAAATTCACCCTGATTACCAGCTAATTTATATTGATGTACATTTAAATGAATGAAACGTGGTGGTATTATATGACATTGGGATCGGACTATTCTAACCTTTTATTTTTATAAGACAACCTTACAGGCTTAAGGATTTATAAAAACTTTACTTGTTGTTTGAAATATCGTCTCTCCTCTTCGTCAACGAGTACGAGATTCAAATAATATCTAACCGAAAACTTTTTGTTGATGTCCCGCATAGTTGGCGTCAAATCGTATCCACTTAAGAAGAGGCGGATAGGTATGGATTCACCTTTCAAATGTTATTATTTAAAAAAAACGCCAATAAATATTGATAAATTTCGAAATTTTACACTCCATTTAATAAAATACGAGTATTAACGCTTCGCGAAGGTGAAAATAATTTGAAGATATTTTGGGTAAAGTTATTAAATGCCTAAAAAATTGGCTTAAATCTCAGTTTTTAATAGAAGACAAATTTTTTTGCAGTTTTGGGATTGGCTACATAGGTAATCTATCATTATTTGTGAGTCAAAATCAAATCGCGAAAAAAGTCATTTTGATAAAAATGTAATATATTTAATGTGAGGGTAAGTTTAACTACATGGTTAGCGTAAGAATCGAGTGTTGCAAAATAGGGTTTCCACAAGATAATTTGTGTGGTAAATTAAATAATTTTATCGTCTGTTTACTAGTTGTATTAATTCCGAATAATTTCCATATTATAAAGTAAAATAGGTGTATACTACCCAACGTCATTGATGCTCGGCCACCCATATTTTATTTCAGTCTTAGTTTTTTTTATAACCTAATAATAGACAAATATTTTTAGCTATAAATAATGCAAAATTAAATAAATTTTGATAATTTGGAATCAATCAGTTAAAGTTTTTGAAACAATAGGCTACTTGCACTAAAAATTCGGTCACCTACAATTTTATAATGTTTTAGTAAATTATATTATCGTATGCCTTTATATTTCAGTCATAATCATAAATATAACCTTTTTTAAAATTACAATTATAATGGTCTCAGGAAAAGGACATTGTAGAAAGGACGGGGGATCGAGTTAGGGTCGTGACATGGAATGTTGGGAGTATGACGGGAAGAGCGGGAGAAGTCGTCTATGTATTGCACAGAAGGCATATAGATGTATGCTGCATACAGGATGGAAAGGAAATGGGGCCAGAATGATTGGCAAGACTAGCGAAAAATATAAATTTTTTTGGCAAGGAAGTAATGATGGTAAGGCTGGAGTTGGGGTATTGGTTGCGGAGAAATTGGTAGACAAAGTAGTCGAAGTGAGAAGGCTAGATAACCAGATAAGTTATCAAGATGATTTTTGGTAGAAAGCTATATAATATTATCTCGGCATATGTTCCTCAGGTTGGAAGAAGTGAAGAAGAGAATGATATTTTTTGGGTCTATTGGGTGTGACATCAAGACTGGCAAATGAAGAGGGGATTATCCTGACTGGTGATCTGAATGGACATGTGGGAGCGAGTAGTGAGGGTTATGAAGGAGTACATGGAGGGTTCAACGGCATGAGAAATTTGAAAGGAGAGAGGATTTTAGATTTTAGTGATGCTATGGATATGATTGTCTGTAATACAATGTTTAAGAAAGAATCCGAGAAGCTGGTGACTTATAAGTCGGGTAGTACCAAAAGTGCAGTGGATTACTTGTTATTAAGGAGAAGTGATCGATGTATAGTAAAAAATATGAAAGTGATACCGGGAGAGGAATGTATAAATCAGCATCGACTAGTTGTAGGAGATCTCACTCTTAAAGGTGCCAGGGTCACTAAAAGAAAGTTTTTGCCAAGACTGAAGGATTGGAAATTGAAGGAGAGTGCTAGACGTCAATTCAATGACATTGGCGATTAGGGAGGCGGAGGTGGCACAAGCATCTGGGACAAGTGGGAAGCCATGAAAAAAGCCTGGGTGATGACAACTGAGGAGGTATGTGGATGGACAAAAGGGCCGCTAAGACATAAGGAGACTTGGTAGTGGAACTCGGAGGTAGCGAAAGCTGTGGATGAGAAACGGAGGTTTTCAAAGTATGGTATAATAGCAAAGTTAATAGTGATAACAATATTTACTAGATGGCTAAAAGAAATGCTAAGAAATTAATAGCGAAGGCTCAAGAAGAAAAAAGACACGAGTTTGCTAAAGAAATGGATTGCGCTGATGGAATTGGAAATATAATTCGAATGGCAAAGCAGATGTCAAAAAAAGAGGCAGGATGTGATAGGTGTAAAGTGTTTGAAAAATATGGGGAAAAAAATGGTGATTGATAGTAGTGTTATTAAGAACACCTGGAAGATTTACATGAAAGGACTTTTGAATGAAGAAAATGAATGGGATAATAATGTTAGTTGTGCAAAGGTAGAAGGTCCAGGGTGTAAATTTGGCAAAGACGAGATAAAGAGAGCAGTGAAAAAGATGTTAAAAGGGAAGGCATCGGGTTTAACGATGGTGGTTAATGAATTTAACCAATCAACCCGAGGACTGGCGAAGAAGTATAATTATCCCAGTATACAAGGGGAAAGGTGATCCTTTAGATTGCGGGTCTTACAGAGCTATTAAACTCTTGGAACATGCAATGAAAGTATTTGAGAGTGTTAGAGAAGCGGATAAGGGAACAAATTAAAATTGATGAAATGCAGTTTGGTTTTACATCGGGAAAAGGCACGACAGATGAAATTTTTGTGGTGAGACAAATGCAGGAGAAGTATCTTGCGAAGAAAAGAAACCCTATTATGCGTTTGTTGATTTGGAGAAAGCATTTGATAGGGTGCCGCGTGAGGTTACTAGATGGGCCTTGAAAAAATCAGGAGTGGAGGAATGATTGTTATAGCAGTGATGGCAATGTATGTTGGAGCACAAACAGCAGTACGGACGGATTATGATGATAGTGACAGCTTTGAGGTGAAGGTAGGACTTCATCAAGGATCCGTGCTGAGTCCATTATTATTTATCTTAGTAATGGATGTGGTGGCTAAAGAAATGCGTGAAGGACTTCCCTGGAAGCTATTAAATGCAGATGACCTTGTATTAATGGCAAACAGTGAGGAAGAATTGAGGGATAAAATTAGTAAATGGAAGATGACTATGGAAGCAAAGGGCTTGAAAATGAATGCATCAAAGACAAAGGTAATGATTGGTGGGGAAAACCTAAAGATGGAGGAATCCGGTAAGTGGCCTTGTGGTGTATGTGGGAAAGGAGTTGCTAGAAATTCTATCCAATGCACCAGATGCCAGAAATGGGTACATAATAGATGTAGCCGGGAAAAGGGAAGTTTGATGTTAGGAAAAATGACCTTTATTTGTAGAACATGCATGAAAGGAATATATAATAATGATAACATAGAAAATGGTGGTCTGGATATTGGCAATGGGTTAACCCTAGAAAAGGTGGATAAGTTTTGTTATTTAGGTGATATGCTAAACGCAGATGGTGGTGTAGATTCTGCCGTTGTTGCAAGGACCAGACAAGCTTGTAAGAAGTTCAGAGAGATGTCGTCTATTCTTACAAATAAAAAAGTCACTCTGAAGTTAAAGGGGAAAGTTTACGTAAGCTGTGTGAGAAGTTGTTTAGTTTATGGCGGTGAAACATGGGCAATGAAAGCGACTCACGAAGTCAATTAAGAAAGAACAGAGATGAGGATGATTAGATGGATATGTTGGGTATCTCTGAGAGAGAGAAAAACTAGCAAGGAATTGCGAGCAAGATTGGGTATAGAAATGATTGGAATGGTAATGCGACGAAATAGACTAAGATGGTTTGGGCATGTGGAACGTATGAAAAAAGATGACTTGGTAAAGAGATGCACAATGATGGAAGTAGGAGGATCAAGACCTAGAGGAAGACCCAAGATGACGTGGACAAATGTGATAGCGGCGGATATGAGAAGCATGAATCTTACAAATATTGATGCTCAGGACTAGTGTTGTTAAACGGCTCGATTTGAGCCGATTTTTAAAAATGGCTAACTCAACATTATAGCCGGGAAAATATTGCCTAAGCTTCGAGATTTCGCCAATAGATGTTCAATACTATGTTCCATCTATGAGAAAAATCTCTAGGCTTTCATCATATTTTTCTGGCTATGGAGTTAGCCGTTTTTAAAAATCGGCTCAAAACGAGCCTTTTAACAACACTACTCATGACCGTCAAAAATGGAAAATAAAAATCAGAGAGAAAACTGGCCTACCCGGGTAAACCTGGAAATCGCCATAAAACGGAGAAGAAGAAGAAGAAAGGTATAATAATGGTAATATATAAATATAATAAACCGGATGTCCAAAATGAGAGAAAATAGAATGCTAAAAATAATCTTATTGGATCTTCGGAATTCTAATTCTATAAAAATACACTCATGAAATAATTCTAAGTTCAGATATATATCTAGTATTCAATCTCTCTAGAAAGTACATCTATCTTGATTTTAAATTTTTATACTTTGTCATAAGGCGAAAAATATGACATAAATTCTATGTGATGGTGTGGGGCTGTAAAGAGGAATAAATACAAGAACGTTATATTTTGTATGCAGGTCGTTAAAAGGGATGAAATATCAGAGATAAAGCTTTTAACAATATTTTAATATTTATTTAAACTTAGTTATATTTAATAAAATTTAAAAATATTGAATTTTTTTTTAAATTTGAAGATAGTTTTTAAAAAAATTAAGATGGCCGAGCATTATTTAAAACAAACTGGTGGCATTATGCAATGCGACTTACGCGGCATTTAGTCATATTTTCAAAATCGATTATCATCGAAAATAACATTTGTTTCCTAAAATTTGTACTCGCAGAAACAATTCTTTTCTGATTTCCAAAACAAAAACCTTCATTCCCTAAGTTAATAAAACCAATAAATATAATTAAAGTTAATTATAAAATGTTACCTATTTAAAAAAAAATTAACTTAATATTTTAAGCAATAAAATACCGAGTTAAATTCTTCCCCCACCAATAAAGATTAAAGAATAGTAAATTACATTAGTTTCAATTATATTAATTGCAAAATATATTTGTAACCTTTAACAGGAGCACCATCCATAATTTCATATTTTGCCACAGTTTCATTATCGAGATATGTATTTTGACCTTTTTTTTAATTAAGATATTTTCGCAAGTTATATATAGCTATTTCCAAAATCTTCTTTAAAAAATTCGAAAAGTTTCATGAAATCGTATGTTAAATTTTTAAAATTTTCTAAGAATTTTTTTTATATTTTGGACACAGTCTAATGTGAGGAAAAAAAATAAAATGAAAGAAAACTTGCCAGATAAATTTGATAAAATTGCAGAGGTTATTTTTAATTTTGAAACAAAAAAAATGTGACCGAATATTTATAAATAAAAGTAATTAAAATTCAAAATCATTATATTTTACCCGATCCAGTAGTTTCCTTTTTCAATATAGCTAATTCCATATATTTTATTTTGATACGAACTAGTAAAAAATATATTTTTCCCACAATGGCATCTTTCAAGTGATATCTGGAATTATGGAATATTTATTATTTATATATATACATTCAATATATGGATGATCTGGATGGTGGAAAATGAAGATAAGAAAAGGAAAATTAGTATCAAGTAAACCTGACTATAAATCTATAAACCAAACGAGTATTCATAAAATACATCGTTAAAATTTTTGATCTTTTCAAATAGTTTATTTTTAAAGTTCTGTGATGACAGAACAATTGGAAAGCCTTAAAGGAGATCCCATGCCACTTTTTATTACTTCAATCAATTTATGAGGCGATATGAATGAAGGGGGGGGGGGGGGGGTATTAGAAATAAAACAAAATTTTTGCCAACTTCACGCTTAAAAGTTGAATAAAAGCATTTAAAATGAGGCCTATTTCATTCTTTAGGGCTTATATTTATTCCTAAAAAAGCAATAAATATTATTAGCAAAAAAAAACTAAATTTTAAAAAAATCCGGGCTGATGATAAGGCGGGTGGTATAAAAATAAATGCTGCTCTTAAAATTCTAGAAAGATTTATACAATTCGAGAAATCATTTAATTTAAAGTTCACGTCCAGTTTGTGTTTAAATTTTTGCATGATTTACAAAAAGATTGGCCAGCAAGGAGTCTTTAGTTGTAGCAACCAAGTTTGAATATATGATCTATTTATTATGTTTTTATTATATTGGTATAAAATAAGCTATTCCTTATTCATCAGCCCTTTTCTCTATGGAAGCTTTTTTTATCTCTTCTTAATCTATATAAAGTATATAATTAGTTCTGTTTTTCATGTAATGACCAGTTCCAACAAGACTTAAGATTCTAACGAAATCCAATCTGGATATCTTTGATTAATTGGTAAAGAGTTAGCAGCCAATTTGATAAAAATTTCAGAAGTATTTTTCCAAAGATTATCAGTGTTTTTTTAAACTATTTACAGTTTGAATATGATTTTTAACTAGCGTCACAAGGTTTTTAAAAAAATATATATTAAGGAACTTCTTGAATTTCGTTCTTCTCTAGTATTATGATCATTTAGTGCATTAAATCAAGTTTTATTCTTCTATTTTTTGTTTTGTTCCATATTTTTGAATCTTCAGTTAACATATAACAATTTTATGATCTGAGTTAAATGTTACTTGGTGAATTATTTAATATTAGTTATCCAACCAATTGTAGATTTGGAGCAAATAAAACAGTCAATTTGAGACCAAGAATTATAATATGAATTGAAACGGGTATAAATTTCTTTAGGATCTGAGTGTTCAAAATACTCATAATTCAAATTATTACAAACACACACAAACAAATGACAATATGGACATCTTATAAAAAAATATTTAACTTAAATAGGTCCCCTCTTTATTAAATGACATTATCAATGATCAATCATTACCCTTTATATCAAATCTTCATCCCCTCATTACCTTCCACTTCTCAACTTAATACCCAATATCATTACTGAATCTACCTCAAATTTACCTTCTTCATACCTTCAATTACCATAAACCCTCCAACTTACACACAATCACGCTTATTTAGAATTTGATAATAAATTCTTTGCGCGTTGCTATGTCAGTCTATCTTTTTTTCCTTAATTTCAGCTATTAAATTGATCGAAGCAATTAACCTACCTCTACTTACTAAGCCTTAATTGACATTAGTTAGTGCTTTCATTCGACTTATAAAAGTGATGGCCAAAATTTTGTTTTTCTAATACCCTTTTTCCTTAAATTCTGTTACCTTCTGAATTGAAGCACTAACAGGCACCAAACATTGAAATATGATTAATAGTTAGTAGCTCTGATCCTTCATTTTTCTCATCATATAAAAATATTGTCAATTCAAAGCATATTTATTTAAATTTAAATATTCGATTTAAAATTTTTTAAATTTATACTTGGATTTATTGTATTCAAATTCAATATGTAAACAATCTTCAATGCCCACTTCCATTTTAATACTTGGGGAGACCTCTTGGTAAAGTGATAGGGTATAAACTATAATATCTAACTCTTTTATAATGTCTCTGAGCCTTCGTTCAATTGTAACCCTCAAAAAATACCTAATTTTTTTAAATATAAATAAACACTTTTTTTGTAATTTAATTATTTAACCTTAATCTCACATTAATTCCCATGTAAGATTCAAAGGGTTTTTCAACTTGAAGAAATTCAAAATCATAACATGTGTTTTGAGTTAGTTCTGAGGGGCGTGCCAATTCTTTCATTAGTGATATAAATTCGTAGTGACCTCCTCTGTCATAGAATAATTCTTTAAATTATGAATAAATATTGTATTAAAGGTTTTACTTTTAAAAATGTATGTAAATTAATAATTTGCATTGGGCCCAATTTTCCTAACCCGGCACAAAAATTTGTCCGACTCGATCCCGAAAGAATTTTTTTTTGTTCGTCCAAATAAGTTTTCTACCCATAATTATAATTATTTGTCTGCCCAGTCCGAATTTATTTAAATAAAAAAAATGACATATTTTTAATTGTAAAAAGATAACAATTTTATAATATATCGATATTTCACAAGATACATCATATTTAAAAATTTAGCGACCGAGCTCGAATTATTTCAAAAAATAATAGGCTCGGTCCATTGCTCATTTGGGTTAATATTTGAACTCTATTGTGTTTACAAGATACTAAATTTAAGACTTGTTAAACTTAAAATAACGAACTATATATCCATAGTTTTCGATAGTATTGTTGAAAAGATAAAAATCGAGATTATGGCCAAACAAATATTTTCTAAGCTTCGGGATTTCGTGAAAAGAGAGCCAACCTTTTGAGAAAAGAGTAAAACTGAATTCATAGTTAGCGCTAGAGGTCTGCAAGGTAATTTTTTCACGGCCCGAACCCTAATTTTTTAAAAAAATTTTGTCCCAGAGCATACATATTTAGATCCAACCCGAGCCCAACTAAAAATCCTTTTCTAATTTGAGTTTAAAGGTATCGGTCTGATTCATTTATCTTTCTTTTGTCATCAAACTATTTTGAGTCAAATGGCAAATTTTTTTTCCTAAAATTTATCATTAAAATATTTTACATAGTAATTGGTTTTAATTAATATTTACATATATATTTCTCTGAACTTTAAAGGCAAAGGTAATTGTTTTATTTAAAATATTTTACATAATTAATATTTACATATATATTTTTCTAGAAAATTGTAAAATAAAGAACAATATTGGCAAGATTCTATATTAGTATTATCAAATATTTTTCTGAACCAGGCAAAGGTAATTGTATTAATTAAAATATTTTACATAATTAATATTTACATATATATTTTTCTAGAAAATTGTAAAATAAAGAACAATATTAGCAAGATTTTATATTAGTATTATCAAATATTTTTCTGAACCTCAAAAGCAAACAACAAATATTTTTCTGAACCTTAAAGGCAAAGGTAATTGATTTTAATGTCATTTATTATTTTCTAGAAAATTGTAAAATAAAGTACAATATTAGCAATTATTCTCAACTTAGTATTAGCAAGATTCTATCTTAGTATTAGCAAATATTTTTCTGAACCTTAAAGGCAAAGGTAATTGGTTTTAATGATGCATGGCAAATTTTTTTTTCTAAAATTTTTCATATATCTTTTAGAATTTTAACAACATTTGAACACATATGGATAAAATTAGGTATATTTCTATTTTCTAAGAAATCATTATATATATTAATCTTTTAGAATTTTCACAACATTAGAACATTAGAAGAACAATAATTATGGTAAATTATTTATATTTTCTAATAGATATCATTTTATATTTATAACAATCTTTTAGAATTTTTTAAATAATGACACCTTCTACATATAGAAAGTCAAGTTATTATAAAAGTAAAATATATTTTACCTGTATTTCTCCAACCTGTCCTGGGAAAGGTTATACAGTAAATAACCTATTTACTGAAACAGCAGCATGCAATGGTAAATTATTTAATATATAAGATGTGATTTATTGTTTTCTAGATATTTGCAAATATTTGAGTGGAAGAAGAGGAAGTATTTTATAAAATAATTTTTAAATTTTATTATAAATATTTAATCAAATTTTTCTTAATATATTATCTTTTAAATTTTATTATAAATATTTAATCAAAATTTTTTAATACATTTTTCCTTAAGTCACGACATTAGTGCCTCCTTTGATAGATCCTCCACAAGAAGCTGGTGACAGTGATGTGGGGATTTCTGGGAACTTGTTGAAGGAAAGTCAAGAGGCTCTCCCTTCCATGTTCAATCCGACACTAGAAGCTCAAGATAGTGATGTGGAGAATTCTGCAATCTTGTTGGAGGAAAGTCAAGAGGCTCTCCCTTCCATGTTCAATCCGACACTAGAAGCTCAAGATAGTGATGTGAGGAATTCTGCGATCTTGTTGGAGGAAAGTCAAGAGGCTCCGCCTTCTTTGATTAATCATACAGAAGAAGATGGAGAGAGTGGCCTCCCTCTTGCCATAAGTCTGCGATAAAATCTTTTAAAATCAGGATAAAATCGACTATATGCTGTCAACCTATTACCCAGTATACGTCTTAAAATATATTGACAATAGTGAAAGTAGCATCCCTTGACAGAAATGGTAGAAAAAACTTCTTCGAGTGCTGTAAGTACTCCCATTTCAAAATCTATAAGTGCTTTAGGAGGAGAAAATAATATTCTTATAGATCGACAATAGTTTTTTAAAAGATTCAACATTTTTAGATACGTTTCTTTGTTTTTATTTGGCAATAATATATAAGCGCATTTCGTCTAAAAATGGTAAAAGAGGGAGACCACTCTCTCCATCTTCTTCTGTATGATTAATCAAAGAAGGCAGAGCCTCTTGACTTTCCTCCAACAAGATCGCAGAATCCCCACATCACTATCTTGAGCTTCTAGTGTCGGATTGAACATGGAAGGGAGAGCCTCTTGACTTTCCTCCAACAAGATCGCAGAATTCCCCACATCAAGTAATGGCGATACCCTTCTTAACCGAAAATGATATACTGGATTATGTTAACTTTTCACTTTTTAACTATCCACTTAAAGATCTTCATAAAAAATATTTAAAAAATAAAAACATTTAATTGTACTATAAAATTATTTATTTTTTATTAGTGTTGACATTGAAACGCCAAATAACGATGTACTCTCTAAAACCATTTCAAAAATTACATTTTCTAAGTGTAAGCTATTGTGGAATAAAATGGGGGCGATCTTCAAACTCTGCAGCCATTTTTAAGGGAAGCATGGGAAAGAACTCTTTTTATAATGCCTAGAAATTAATAGATAGTCTTAATAAGGATAATTGCATATGAGACTCTTATAATAAATCTGAATTACAAATTTTTCAGATAAAGACAAGTCGTTCAACGCGCGTTCCTTTTTAAGGCAACCGTAATGGGTTCCTTTTTTCAGATGTAACGAGTAAACGCGTTTCTTTTTTGTAGTAACGTTTACAGCACTAGAAATAATTAAACAATTTTAATATGATATACTGGATTATGTTAACTTTTCAATTTTTAACTATCCACTTAAAGATCTTGATAAATATATACACATTCCACTATCAATGTAAAATTTATTTTAGCTTAGAATCAGATGGGTTCAGAAATTTCAGATTAATCTTTTACACCTGACAATTAACATAAGCCAGATTGTCTACATTCTGTTATTAACAAAATTCATTTATATTAATTAATTAATTAATTATTATAAATTATTTTAGCGATGATTATATATTTAAATACATTCTTCCTATATTTTATTTTATTAAAAATTAGTTTATATATATTTAAATATTACTTTATATTTATGTATAATTTAATATTACTTTATATATATATTTAAATATTATTTTAGATATATTTAAATATTTTATATTTAATTAAATATTCATAAATATATATTGCATAAATTATAATATAAATATTTTAAAATTTAAATGTTAAATGTGTCTTGTTTGTATTCACCATCTTTCTTTTTTTTGACTCTAAATCAGCTGTGATCGAGTTTAAATATTAATAATCATATTTTAATAAAAATTTACATATGAAAAATATTTAAAAAAAGAATAAAAATAATTTGCATGAAAAAAATTTACATATCAATATCAGTTTTTCTGATTGACATTTTTGTGAAACAAAAGATATTTGTATTTTTTGGGTCGGGTCGGACATATTTTACAACCCAACCCAGGGGAAATTTCTTCAATGTCCGAACCCGGGGTCGTCCTTTGAACAGCAAGTGCAAACCAGCTAGCGCGAATTAAGGCGTAGGTAATATTTATTGGCTAGAATTCCGATTTCGCCATTTTTAAAAATCAGGATTTCTAACAATACGAATAAATAAAACAAATAAGATAAATCAAAGAAAATTCAATAATATCAGACATGTAAGAATAAAACCCGGATAGTATTATTAATTTAAAATGTTATATTCATTATTAATGTGCTTAGTTATAAAATATAGACAAAGCATTATTGAAATTTCTTTTATTATTTCTTTTGTTATTTTAATTATTTTTGCAAATATTATAATGTTATATGAATGGGTTTGAATTTAATCGTCAATATGTTTCATTAAATCATCACAACACTGTAATGTGTATAAAAACTAATTTAAATTATGGCCATTTTTATTAAGCTTGGAACAGAACAATAAAAGAAAGCTTTATTAAAACGTCAAATACCAATTAATACATAAATATCCTCACAATATCTTACTGTAAAAGTTTATTTAAACGTTAAAGCCAATTAATATGAATCATGAAATTAAAAGTATCATGATATGGTTTCCCAAAAAAATTTTTTTTAAATGATTATTAACGCGTGATTAATGATAAAATAAAAGTATCACGATATAAGTTCTCAAGATAACTGAAAAATACAAATTACCTAACATATAGTGATGAAGCAAAATTATCATGATAACGTTTTAAAAATAAATTTAAAAATTCATAATAAAAAAATACAACCTTGGAGTGGGGGGAATGGGATTGTCTTTAAATATTTTAACATAATAGTTTGGACCAATATTTAATAACCATAAAAAACTCTATAAAAATATTTAGGATCGGACCATTTTTTAAAATCATGTTCCAAATTGATAGTAAGTTAGTTAAAACAGAAAAATTTGTGAAATATTTTCCTTAAAATAATGTTTATATTTTATAATGATTTATGTTAGTGATGTACATTGAGCCTAATATTACAAGCCCAAATCTTGTCCACCCATCCCAATCTTTAACGAATTTTTTTTTAATTTATCCCAAAGAGCCCAGTTTGAAATAAAAATTATTATTTGTCATTCTGGTTTAAAATTATATAGTATTTTTTTTATAAAATTAATATTCTATACCTAAAAAAATATTGCCCATTGTTTCTTGCAAAATTTAAAATAGCCAGAATTTTAAAAAAAATTATTTAAGAGAGATTTGGCAAATAGATGTCCATCAAGCTTTTTAACAATATTAGGCCAAACCCAGCCTGACCAATTTTTCTAAAATAGGTCTGGCCCAAAACACTTTTAGACACATATCCCTAATTCACACAATCATTGGTAATCAGATAGCAATGCCTAGGCAAAATTTTATTGCTAATAAAATTATCAGAGACCTGAGGCAGGGCCCTAAGCCCATCCCGTATTTTAATTATTTAATATAACCTGACCAGGCCTAAATATTTTTTAAAAATTGGTCCAGTTCAGGTATTTTTTTTAAAAGATAGCAAGGCCAGGCTATATATTATAAAATAAAATATTTTAAATCACCATTATTAGCTATAAAAGTTAATAGAATTTTTTTTAAAATATCTGGGCCAGGCTTGAAAATATAAAACTGGGCCTGACAGGAAAAAAATCAGGGTAGGGTTGAAAATTTTTTGAGTAAGGAAAATAGTACTGCAGGCTGATATTTATAAAATATAAGATAGTGTCTATAAGAGTAGAAAATAATTTAATAGCAAAACATTTGGATCATCCTAGATATAAAACATTTTTACTCTCTATCCCCTAAAAATCTATCCACACTTCCTTAGGATATATGGAGTTCCTACACTTTCCCCTTTATAAACATGATCAGATATATGAAGCCAGCCTAGACAAAGAAACTATCCAAAATATTCTTATTTGTTAAAGAGTAAAATTTAGGTTATTCCTAGTGCAGGCTGAAAAAAATTAAAATTGAGGCCCAGCTCAGTCTAGAAAAAAAAAAATTTTACCCCAGGCAGAGAGTATTTTTAAAACAATAGACCCAAACCCCAATCTTTACTTTTTTGCATAAATTAAGAATAATTTGACTTTATATCTTAAAACAGGGGGCTTAGAGTGAACTAAATTGTTATATAGAAATGAACATTTATACCAAATGAGATAAAGGAGCAAACAAAACCTATATAACTTTATTTAAACCGGTTTAAAAAAACGTTATTTTGTATATAAATGGTAATTTAATACCATATATTCAATATATTTGATGCTTTCTCTATGGAGATTATATATTTTTTTTTGGTATTTTAATTATAATAAGAAATAAAATATAAATTAATCCATTTAATTAATCAGATTAATTGCATTCTTTCTTTCTAAACTTGCATTCAATTTGATACAACTAAATGGGTCATTTAATAATGAGTTACAGTGGAAAATGATTTTCTTTCAAATATTTATTTTTAATCTTTGTCCACTCATATTTTTATCAAATATTATATTATAGTTGCATCTCACTCTATATCTTCATTTAAGTAAAATTTGATATAAATATTACAAAAGTTTTTGAAGCTTAACTTTTATAACTTTTTTTAAAACTGTAACTAAACCATAACCTATATTATTTTTTCTGCCCTTGAAAATATCAGATATAAGCATTTATCATCAAAAGAACTAGTTAATGGCGATGCATATGTATAAATCTTTATTTTAATAATTTTTTTAAATAAAATCATTGGTAAAATAAATCATCACCTATTTGTCCAATAAATTCAATTTTTATTCCTTGATGTTCTAACTTACTACCAGGTTTTTTCAACGTTATATTAACCTAAAATTAAATAGATTTAATTTAATAAAAAAAACATACCTTTCCTGATATTGTTTCTCCATCAAAAAACAGATATAATTTTTCTTTTTTACCATCTGTTTTGAAATCAATACATTTTCTGTTATCAATATTGTCTAAGACAATATCAATATCTGCACCTTGTCTAATACCTACACCTTGGAGTAATGTATCCTAAAAAAGAATAAATTTTGATTACTAAATAAAATCTACCATTATCAACGCGTTTTTAAATTTTAAAGGTAGGTGATATCATAGAATGTCAATCATAATTTTTTGCAAATTATCTAATGACGCAATCAATTTTTTTATAGCTACGTAAGAGATAGTAAACGATGTTTGTCTTGCCTGATATCCGATCCCGATTTAACACCCCCTCCTCACAAAAAATATGCCGAATGTTTTCCTTCAATTTTTTGATGTTAAACGGCTCGATTTGAGCCTACTTTTAAAAACGGCCAACTCAATATTTTATCCAGAAAATATTACTCAAGCCTGAAGATTTTGCTTATAGACGGCACAAAGGTCTAGACATCTATTAGGAAATCTAGAGCCTTAGGCAATATTTCTTTGGCTAAAATAATAAGTTGGCCGTTTTTAAAAATCGGCTCAAAATGAACCGTTTAACAACACTGATTTTTTCCGGCTGAAACAAAATTTATTATTTTTTTTTTACTATATCTCATTTCTTTTATTTTTTAAAAATTATATATATTATGGATTTCCCTTTGGGGAGAATCAAACATATCGATATCTAGGCAACTAATATCAGTGTTACCAAAATTATTTTTGAAATACTGAGTTGAGGGTTCGGTTATATCACATTTTTTAAAAATATATTTTATCAAATTGAATGAATTTTTCTATAAAAAAATCTATCAAACGTAAACATAAACATATTTCTATTATTTATGATCAAGATACTGTAGATAATAAAACTCAGAATATTGATGATATCAAGGATGTTAGTTGTAATTGTAATTACCATATGATTATATTTTAAAGATTAATTACTAAGCTATGATAAAAAAATGGAAATTTTTGCATAAAAATATAATTCAAATGAGAAAAAATAGAAATGCACCAGTTGATAAATATGGAGCAGAATGCTTATCAGATAAAAAATTGGATTCAAAAGTAAAACATTTATCAAAATATAATTAAAATATTAACAGACACAAAGATTTCAAACTTTAGTTGCATTAATGTTGTCTAGTCAAACTAAAGATCAAATAACAGCTGAGGTGATGGGAAGAATAAATAGTTTAGGCTTGACTCCTTTTAAATTTAGCAAAATGTCACTTAAGGATATTCAAAATATTATTTATCCTATTGGATTTTATAAGGTTCATTTATAAAATATTTGATTTGAATTTTATTTTTCTTAGCAATACTTGTAATTTATTTATAAATTGTTTCTTACATTTTTTTAAATTTAATTAGAATCAAATATGAGAAAGGGGTTAACTCTATTTAATTTATGTTAAATAATAACCTAATTTAGCCAATTTTTAAAACGACAAAATAAAGATTTTAGCCAAACAGGTTACCTAAGCTTTGAGATTTCACTAAAAGTGAGCCAGGAATGTTATAAATGTGATCAATATTATTATGTTATTAATATATTGTTTGTGGATAAACATATAAGGTTAAATCCAAGTATATATACTCAACCTCAAATATATTGCTAGAAAAATATGATGGAGATATACCCAACAATTTTAAAGACCTTTTGGAACTTCCTGGCGTAGGGCCTAAGATGGCTCTTTTAGCTATGAAAATTGCATGGAATGAAACAGTGGGAATTGCAGTTGACACTCATGTTCATCGTCTATCAAATAGGTTTGCTTATAGATTTTTATATTTTTGAAATTAAAGAGTTTTTCAAAAATTGACAACCCTGACCTTTGGATATTATAAAATATTTTGAATAGATTTTTTCAATACCAAAAGTCAATATATCTTCAGGTGGATTGTAAATTAGTTAGTGTTGTTAAACAGTTCGATTTATTAAAATAGCTAGCCCAATTTTTTTTCCAAAAAATACTCAAGATTGGAGATTCTGCTTATATATGGCAGAAAGGTTCGGGCATCTATTAACGAAATCTTCAAGCTTACATAATATTATTTTGGTTAAAATCTTGATTTAAAATGGGTTGAATCGAGCCGTTTAACAAGAGTATAGATGAACATAAAAGGTGATTATTTTTGTAAATTTAGAATGAAAATATTGATGAAATCACTAATCTTTCATTTATTTAGATCAAGCATATTATAAATTGTATAAAATTTCTAAGGTAAATATTCTATACATATTGTAATATATTTACAACAAAATTAAATTTCTGCAATTTATAAAAAAAAGTCGCCTAATAAATGATTTGAAAATATAACAAAAAAATAATACAACAGCCATCAAACTCTCGCCTTATAAATTTTTAATGTCCAGTTTTTAAGGTTTAAAATTTAAGAACGCCTGGTGGTAAAACATGAGATTGTCATTAAAATTGGAGGGGAGTAAAGAAGGCACTATCTTTAGAATAAAGTTAAAGGGGCTAGTGTTGTTAAACGGCTAAGCCGAGTCGACTTAGCTATGACTCGAGCCTAGTTTCTAGTCGATAAAACAGCTCAGACTCGAGTCGACTAAATGAGCCACATTAGTCGGCTCATTTAGTCGGCTCACTTAGTCGGCTCGCTTAGTCGGCTCACTTAGTCGGCTCGCTTAGTCGGCTCACTTAGTGGACTCAGAGGTTAGCTTGAGTTTAATTTAAATTTAGAGTCAAAATTTATTTTTATGTTATTGAGATATTTTAAATAATAATGTAGAATTTTATTTATTTATTTATAGTGAATAATTTATTTTATTTATATTTAATGTTAATATTTTATTATTATCAAACAAAAAATTTTTTTAACTTTTATTTCAAATATGTTTTGATCTTATAATAAAAATGGATTTATTTATTTGATTTTTTTTAAATAAAAAAAAATTCATATTTTCGTCGAGCTAATTTTAAGCAAAAAATAATTTTTGAACAAAAATATTGAAACATATTTTGTTGATTGTTGATTTTTTATTAATTTTTAACTTTTTTAAGAAATACTTTTGTTAATTTTATCATAAATAAATAATCTTTTAGGTCAAATCTTCTTTAGTTTTTTTATATTATTTTCATAAATATATCTATATTTTAAGTTTATTATTAGAGGTGGCTTTTTCTAAATATTTTTTTAATAAATATATTTATATTTTAAGAATATTAAAAGAGGTGGTTTTTCTAAATTATTTTTTTATTAATATTTATGTCAAACTTTTTTTTAATGCCGCAATTGTCATATGCGTTATTTTTTAAGATTTTTGGACACAAAAGGGTTATAATATAATTTATATTGTAAAGATATTATATTATAAATTCAATGAAGATGTTCCCTGGAAAAATGATAATTATCATAATGGGTAGGTATATTTTTGAACATATAAGATTTTTTTGTGACGCTAATGGGCAAAAATATGTTTCTTTAACAGGTAAAATTTAATGTAGATGTACCCTAGATAAATGACAATTGTCATAATAGTTATTTTTAAAGTTTTTAAAATTTTTTTGACGTAAATAGGCTAAAATAAGTACTGCTAACATGTCTAAATAAAACTTCAGTGAAGATGTACCCTAGAAAAGTAACAATTGTCATAATCGTTGTTTTTAAAGTTTTTCGAATTTTTTTGACGTAAATGGGTAAAAGCATTGCTAACATGTTAAAATAAAATTTTAGTGGAGATGGTCACTTATCTAGGGTACATCTTCACTTAAATTTTATTTAAACATGTTAGCAATGCTTATTTTAGCCCATTTAGGTCAAAAAAATTCGAAAAACTTTAAAAACAACGATTATGACAATTGTCACTTATCTATGGTACATCTCCACTAAAATTTTATTTAAACATGTTAGCAATGCTTATTTTAGCCCATTTACGTCAAAAAAATTCGAAAAATTTTAAAAACAACGATTATGACAATTGTCACTTATCTAGGGTACATCTTCACTAAAATTTTATTTAAACATGTTAGCAATGCTTATTTTAGCCCATTTACGACAAAAAAATTCAAAAAACTTTAAAGACAAAGATTATGACAATTGTCACTTATCTATAGTAATCTCCACTAAAATTTTATTTAAACATGTTAGCAATGCTTATTTTAGCCCATTTATGTCAAAAAAATTCGAAAAACTTTAAAAACAACGATTATGACAATTGTCACTTATCTATCGTACATCTTCACTAAAATTTTATTTAAATATGTTAGCAATGCTTATTTTAGCTCATTTACGTCAAAAAAATTCGAAAAACTTTAAAAACAACGATTATGACAATTGTCACTTATCTATGGTACATCTCCACTAAAATTTTATTTAAACATGTTAGCAATGCTTATTTTAGCCCATTTACGTCAAAAAAATTCGAAAAACTTTAAAGATAAAGATTATGACAATTGTCACTTATCTATGGTACATCTCCACTAAATTTTATTTAAACATGTTAGCAATGCTTATTTTAGCCCATTTACGTCAAAAAAATTCGAAAAACTTTAAAGACAAAGATTATGACAATTGTCACTTATCTATGGTACATCTTCACTTAAATTTTATTTAAACATGTTAGCAATGCTTATTTTAGCCCATTTACGTCAAAAAAATTCGAAAAACTTTAAAAACAACGATTATGACAATTGTCACTTATCTAGGGTACATCTTCACTAAAATTTTATTTAAACATGTTAGCAATGCTTATTTTAGCCCATTTACGTCAAAAAAATTCGAAAAACTTTAAAAACAACGATTATGACAATTGTCACTTATCTATGGTACATCTCCACTAAAATTTTATTTAATAATGTTAGCAATGCTTATTTTAGCCCAATTACGTCAAAAAAATTCGAAAAACTTTAAAATCAACGATTATGACAATTGTCACTTATCTATGGTACATCTCCACTAAAATTTTATTTAAACATGTTAGCAATGCTTATTTTAGCCCATTTACGACAAAAAAATTCAAAAAACTTTAAAGACAAAGATTATGACAATTGTCACTTATCTATGGTACATCTCCACTAAAATTTTATTTAAACATGTTAGCAATGCTTATTTTAGCCCATTTACGTCAAAAAAATTCGAAAAACTTTAAAAACAACGATTATGACAAATGTCACTTATCTATCGTACATCTTCACTAAAATTTTATTTAAATATGTTAGCAATGCTTATTTTAGCTCATTTACGTCAAAAAAATTCGAAAAACTTTAAAAACAACGATTATGACAATTGTCACTTATCTAGGGTACATCTTCACTTAAATTTTATTTAAACATGTTAGCAATGCTTATTTTAGCCCATTTAGGTCAAAAAAATTCGAAAAACTTTAAAAACAACGATTATGACAATTGTCACTTATCTATCGTACATCTTCACTAAAATTTTATTTTAACATGTTAGCAATGCTTTTACCCATTTACGTCAAAAAAATTCGAAAAACTTTAAAAACAACGATTATGACAATTGTTACTTTTCTAGGGTACATCTTCACTGAAGTTTTATTTAGACATGTTAGCAGTACTTATTTTAGCCTATTTACGTCAAAAAAATTTAAAAAACTTTAAAAATAACTATTATGACAATTGTCATTTATCTAGGGTACATCTACATTAAATTTTACCTGTTAAAGAAACATATTTTTGCCCATTAGCGTTACAAAAAAATCTTATATGTTCAAAAATATACCTACCCATTATGATAATTATCATTTTTCCAGGGAACATCTTCATTGAATTTATAATATAATTGTTGTAATGTACACTTTTTTAATGTATATTTTATTTGATAAAGTGATTTATTTTAACAGATGTATTAATTTTTATGTAAATGACTGATGATATTTATTACATTAACGAAATTGTAAAAATCACTTTTTCATTTTATATAAACTTTGGATAATTTAATTTTATAATAATAAAAAAAATGTAAAGAGAAAGTTAACAAAATTTTAACTCAGAGTATCGCTATCAGAGGCGATACTCTTATTCCAATAAAATATATACGTTAAATTAAATAAAATTTCAATAATTATTAGATTCTTTTATTCAATTTATAAAAGATGAATATTCTTTTTAAATTACAAATATGAAAAATATTATTATTAAAGTAATAGCGGAATAAAATATATACGTTAAATTAAATAAAATTTCAATAATTATTAGATTCTTTTATTCAATTTATAAAAGATGAATATTCTTTTTAAATTACAAATATGAAAATATTGCAGTCACAGTTCGCAATTTTATAACCTACTATATTATCAATGCGGCGAAATGATCACTCTTTCAGGTGCAGTATATTCTCATTTATATTCAACTTTGAGAGAAGGCCACTATAGGCAAATTATTCCAAAATTGGAAATTAATATATTATAAAGGTAAAATAAAAAAAATGAATATTCCAAAATTGGAAATTAATATATTATAAAGGTAAAATAAAAAAAATGAGTATTCCAAAATTGGAAATTAATATATTATAAGGGTAAAATAAAAGGGATGAATATTCCAAAATTGGAAATTAATATATTATAAAGGTAAAATAAAAATAAAAATATTCAAAATTGGGAATTAATATATAAAGGTAAAATAAAAAAAGGATGAATATTCCAAAATTGGGAATTAATATAGTATAAAGGTAAAATAAAAAAAGATAAATATTCCAAAATTGGGAATTAATATTATTAAGATAAAATAAAATAATAAATATTAAAAAAAGAGACTTTCATAAGAATCTTATTCGATATTTGTTGG